TGGTTTATCAGTGTTTTTGTCTGTATCCCTCACTAGACTGAAATGTCCAGACTATGTCTATCTTACTTCAATTTCTCCATCACCTAGCACAGTGATTGGCAAAGGAGGTCACATTGTAAATATTTTTTGAATGAATTAATAAATAATAACACAAAAATATCCATTTATAGTGTAGTGCTTTTAAGGTAAAATCAGTCACATTTAGTGATATTAACATGTAATCAGAAATGGAAAGATTTCTGAAGTTCTCTCTTGATCTGCATCTCCTGCTAGTCCATCATTGGGAATGATCATCCCATCACATGCTCCAGTGCATGTAGCCTATAAGAGGGAGTGAACCAAGTGCATGATGCATGAGTCTTGAAATGCTGGTAATAACAACAGCTTGAGATGTCAAAAGTTTTCATTTTATACAGATTCATGAATCTAAAAAGTCACTGAGATTCTCATGGGAATACTTAGAAATGACATTTGACCCACTATTTTGCATTGAATAACCAAGAAATATTTATTGAATATGTCATAGTATGTGTTGTACCATATTCTGAACATCAGACAAAAATCCTGGCCTTTGAGCTTTTATACACACACACTCTCTCTCTCTCTCTCTCTTTATTTTATTAAAAATTTAAATTTATTGTATTTATTTACATATTGTTATACATATTTATGAGGTTAGTTTGATGTTTCAATGCCTATATATGTTGTAAAATGATCCAATTAGAGTAGTTAAGGCATCCATCACCTTATGTACTTATCATTTCTTTGCGGTGAGATCATTCAAAAGCCTCTCTTCTAGCTATTTTATAATATGCGATATTTTACTGTTAACCATAGTCACCCTACTGTGCAGTAGATGATCAGAATTTATTCCTCCTATCCAATCCTAACTTTACTCATTCACCAACCTCTCCTATCCTCCCTTCCTCATTTCTCTCTTCAGTATGTGGTAATTGCTGTCTGTTCTCTGTTTCTGTGACACCTTTTTTTTTTTTTTTTTTTCACATATGAACCATCCAGTATTTATCTTTCTGTGTCTGGCTAATTTCACTTAACATGATGTCCTCCAGGTTCATCTATGTCATCACAGATGACAAGATTTCATTCTTTTATGGCTGAATAATATCTCATTGTGTCTATATACTACATTTTCTTTATCCATTCATTTGTTGTTGGACATTTAGGTTGAATTTAGGTTGATTCCACATCTTGTAGAATTTGGCTGTGAATCCATCTGGAACTGGAAGGGTTTTTTTTTTGGTTAGAATTTTAAAATTACAGATTCAATTTTATTAGTCATTATTGGTCTGTTCACGGTTTCTATTTCTTCCTGGTTCAATGTTGGAGGGTTGTATGTTTCTAGTAATGTATCCATTTCCTCTAGGTTTTCTAGTTTATATACATAGAGGGGGTCATAGTACTCTATGATGACTTTTGTATTTCTGGGTTATCAGTTTTAATACCACTTTTCACATTTCTGGTCGCACTTATTTGAATCTTCTCTTGTTTTTTTTTCTTATTTAACCAGAAGTCTATCAGTTTTGCTTACCCTTTCAAAACACCAACGTTTTGTTTTGTTTATCTTTTGTGTCATATTTTTGGTCTTTGTTTCATTTAGTTCCTCTCTCATCTTTATTTTTTCTTCCACTAGCTTTGGTTTTGGATTGTTCCTGTTTTTCTACTTCCTTGAGGTGTGGCATTAGGTTACTAATTTGAGATCTTTGTATCTTTTGATGTAAGCATTTAATGCTATCAACTTTCCACTTAACACTGCTTTTCCTGTATCCCAGAGGTTTTGGTATATTGTATTTTTATTTTTATTTTTTGAAGATTTTTAAAAACATTTCTCAATTTCATTGTTTATACAAAAGTCATTCAGGAGCAAGTTGTTTAGCTTCCAAGTTTGTGTAGTTTGGAAAGTTCCTCTTGGTATTGATTTCTAATTTTATTCCACTATGATCTAAGAAGATACTTGATATGATTTAGGTTTTTAAAAAATTTTATTGATACTTGCTTTGTGGCCAAACATATAGTCAATTTGGGAAAATGTTCCATATAGAGATGAGAAGAATGCATATTCTATGGTTGTTGGAAGGATGTTCTTTAAATGTCTATTAGGTCCATTTGGTCTAGAGTCCAATGGAAGTCCAGAGTTTCTTCACTGATTTTTCTGCCTCAGTGATCTATCTAGTGCTGTCAGTAGGATGTTGAAGTCCTCCACTATTATTGATATTCCGCTGAAGCAGCACAAAATGGATTAAGATACCCCCAATATCCACACACAGGGAAATGCTTGCAAAATTTTGAATATGTCAGGATGCCTTACGCTCACATGTTTTTCTTCCTCTTCCTTTCTCCTTCTCTCTTAAATGTCATCTTGTATATGAAACCATTGCTGGAAACCCCACCTTATTATTTTCTAGCAGAATATTTTAATGACTGGAGTATAGTAATTATATAATAATAAATATTCACAATGATTTTGTGAACAAATAAACAAAAAGGTATGCCCCCCATTCACTAGTAGAAAAATGTGTGTTTTTGTTTTGTTTTGTTTTGTTTTGGCAGGAGTGGTGGCTCAAGCCTGTAATTCCAGCACTTTGGAAGGCCAGGGTGAGGAATTCCTTGAATCTAGGAGTTGAGACCAGCCTGGGCAACATAGTGAAAATCCATCTCTACAATTTTTTTTTTTAAGTGAGCTAGGCATGGTGGCTCATGCCTGTAGTCCCAGCTACTCAGGAGGCTGAAGTGGGAGGATTGCTTGAGCCTGGGAGTTTGTGGCTGCTGCAAACCATGATTGTGCCACTGCACTCTAACCTAGGTGACAAAAGGAGACATTGTCTCAGGAAAAAGAAAAAAAAGGAGGAAAAGTTGTTTGTTTTTAAAGCTACACTCCTGGCCAGGAGAGCTTGTTCCTTCCTAACGGGTTTCAATCACCACCTCTACACAACTAACTTCCAAAGAAGTTCCAGTTCTATATCTCTTATTGCTTGCCAGATATTCTGGGGGGAGAAATAAACCAGAGGCAGGGATAGTAATCAGGAGTCTATTACAATAATCTAAGTGAGAGGCACTAAGAATGAGAATTGGGGGCACGTTTAAGAGATTTCTGAACTATGAGTTGCCTCCAAGGCAGATGGAGGAGACTCTTGTCAGTGCTCTGAATTACACAGTATGTGCTGCTGCCTACTTTTCTTGTGGCGAAGACTGACACAGTGAATGATGACAGGACTGAGGAAGGTCAAATATTTTCAGAACCCCATTCTTTTTTCCTTTCTTTTTCTTTTCAAAGTATGATGGGTGGGGAATCAGCAGAGTTAGGAAATGAAAAAGAAAATTTCAGTTTATCTTTTCTGTACCCAAGCACTGGGTCTGATGTGTGGTCTTTGCTTCCCAGATATATAAAATCAAGACAGCCAATACCCCTAGAATTGCCTGACATTAAAGCAGAACATTTCTTTTATGCTCTTTATTCACAAGGTGTGAATTTTGGCAGGTTGACATACTGGACACCCGAATCCACCCCATTTATTACCAGATATTGATACTCTTGGAGTGTGGTTCCAGGACTCAGTCCCATGTGCGATCTTTCAGGCCCTACCACAGGCAATTGCAAGGTATTACCTGGCAGGCCTCATGGGAGAAGCTGCTCTCCCCACATCTGACTTGTTGTATAATTAGGGCATTTTAGTTTTCTGGAGGGAGTTGCAGTTGATGACGTAGGCCCCTTTGGGCTGCAATGCTAGTATGTATAACTGCATCCCCAGCTCAGGCACCTCCATTCAGAAGCCTCTTGACTGCCTGAGACACTTCCCAGGCACCTCTGCTGAGACCTTGTTGGCCTTGGTGAGACAGTTTTATCCACTTTGACTCCAGACCTTTTCACTCCTAGCTCTTCCCCCCTCCCCCTTTCTTTCCATGGCCCTACAAGTCCATACAAAGCAGGAATCTTTTGTTTGGAGCTCCTTGGTAGTGAAATGATTTCCCCTACCTGTGCTTCCATTTGACCATTGCCTGGCACTGTTCCATTGGGAAAAAACACTAGGGAGCCAGTGCATTTCTCTTTTGACTCTTGCCTGCACTGTCACAGCAAATGAATTGATTGTTACTTTCAGTTTGGCTTGTTGTCCTAATTGGGCACCTCAACGCATGGTAGCTTGGCACACGTCTGTTTGGTTTCCCTGTCTTTTAAGTAGGAATAAGAATATTCCATTCCAGCCTTCTTCTATTACGGGTCTGTGCTCTTTGAAATGAGAACTTTTATTATTATTATTATTATTATTACTTTGAGACGGAGTCTTGTTTTGTCACCCAAACTGGACTGCAGTGGCGTAATCACAGCTCACTGCAGCCTTGACTTCCTCAGGCTTAGGTGATCCTCCCACCAGATTCTGGAGTAGCTAGGACTACAGGTGCATGCCACCATGCCCAGCTAATTTACATATATACATAGTGTGTGTGTGTATATATATATAGTATATATGTGTATATATATGTATATATTGTAGAGATGGGGTTTTGGCATGTTGCCCAGACTGGTTCCAACTCCTGGGATCAAGTGATATGCCCACCTTGATTTCCCAGAGTGCTGGGATTACAGGCATGAGTCACCACACCCAAGCTGAGAACTTTTATTGAATATACCATATATTCTACTTTTTCTTTTCATTTTAGTAAGATTCAAATATTTCAAGAAAAGGAGAACAAATAATTCAGATGTACATTAGACTAAATTTGATAGCATACCAAAACCTCCAAAATGAAACAAATATTTTTCTTGGCACACAGAATAATGTGATTAATTTTAACCAGATGGAGAATGATTATGTATTAGCTACATGTAAATGAGAAATGAGACACTAAGCAATGACCCACTTCATAATTTTAAATTGTAAAGAAGAGAGTCTTTGCCCCATGGTGGTTTAATTATTTTCTTGGAAGACATTACACATCTTCATTCAGAAACTTAATGAATTTTACAATTACTCTTTCCTCTGAAGTCACAAGTGATGATTCCCCATCTGGATTGGTAAAGAACTCACAGCAAGAAAAATTGCTGAAGTGTGAAAAACTCAGGACAGCATTCTTTTGCTGACCACGTACCCAGCAGCCCACTGAAGGGCTTGCACCTGTGCGCCTGGGGAAGGTGGGGAGAATATTTCTTCTTTTACACCTCCAAGGTCTATATCTTTATTACTTTGATAGTTCCCGCCTTAGTTTAGTTCACCATCACCTCCTGTCTGGATTATTAAGAAGTATTCCTTAATATGCATCCAATATACCCTCCGCACTGACATTTGAGCTCTCATTCTCTAATGTAAGCCTTCATTGACTAGCCAGTGTCTTTAGAGTCAAGTCAAAATTCCTACATGCAGAAGAGCCCTAACAAACAGGGCCCAAGTGTCCCTTCCAATCTCACCTTCCAGCACTGTCACATTGTATGCACAAGGCACAGTGTATTTGCTCCTCTTGGAAGAAAATCCCTCCCACTTCTGTGACTCTTTACCAGCTCCCCCATCTCTTCCAGCCAGAAAAAAGTGCCCATTCCCTTTCCTCTACCGGGAAAATCATACTCAACTTTCAGTTCCTAGTTCAAATTTCAGTTGCTGTGTCCAATATATTAGAGGCAGAACAGCAAAATGGGAAAGAGTAAGGATTCTGGACACTTGTGCTCTTCCATTGATCATGTTTGTAAGATTGAGTGACTTGTTTAACTTTCCTAAGTTTCTGTTTCCTTATATGTAAATTGGTGATTTAATAGTAACTATTACATCAGGTTGTTGGGAGGGTTAAATGTGATAATTTTTCTAAAGCACTTAGGTCTGTGCCTGGCAGTTTACAAGTACTTACTATGTAAACATTAGCTATTATTCTAGTTTTGCTGACATTTTCTTCAACCCTATATTTTAGCTTAACTGACTTTAAGAAAGTTAATTAAATTAATTAATTAATTTTTGAGACAGGGTCTTGATATATTGCCCAGGCTGGGGTGCAGTGACTGTTCATAGGCACCATCTCACTACTGATCAGCACGGGAGTTTTGACAGAAGTTTCCAACCTGGGGCAGTTCACTAGTCCTCAGGCAACCTGATGGTCCCCTGCTCACAAGGGGTCACCATATTGATGCCGGACTTAGTGCAGACGCCCAGTGGAGCTTCAGGCACTACAGCCTAGAACTCCTGGGCTTAAGCAATCCTCCCTTCAGTCAAGTAACTGGCACTACCAGCATGTGCCACCACACTCAGTTAAAATGGCTTTTATACCTAGAATTATATTAGCTTGGGTGAATTGAATAACCAAGGTAACAGCATTACCAACTCTAGTTCATTTATTCCTTAATATTTACCACAGCTGTATGTCATGGAGTGTGGCTGAACAAGTTATATTGAACTGTCATGTGGCAGTGACCCTTGTAAGTATAACTCTATCAAGAACTATTAATCCGGGCTCAAGCTTTTTTATTTTGGGAATTCTGAGAGTCTTGCCAGGTATTTCTAGTGCTCTGCTTTAATAATAAGCAACATGAACATCACCAAATACTTTAAAGGCTCTATCTGTTCCGTGAAAGGGCACAGCAACTCCTAAATGCCAAAGATGATGAAAAGCCAAAGAAGGAAGTGGACTTTTTTTTTTGAGTTGGAGTCTTGCTCTGTCACCCAGGCTGGAGTGCCGTAGTGCCATCTTGGTTCACTGCAACCTCAACCTCCCTGGTTCAAGCAGTTCTTCTGCTTCAGCCTCCTGAGTACCTGGGATTACAGGCGTATGCCACCATATTCAACTGATTTTTAAAAAAATTTTTAGTAGAGATGGGATTTCAACATTGGCTAGGCTGGTCTCAAACTCCTGATCTCAGGTGATCCACCTGCCTCGGCCTCCCAAAGTGTTGGGATTATAGGTGTGAGCCACTGTGCCCAGCCTAAAATCTTCTTTTAATCCTGATCTGTGAAATGACATTGAATCTTACTCTTGACCACCCACAAAAATATAAAGAATTAGCTAACTTTATGTGTCAAAATCACATAAAGCCATACTCACATGGACAAACACTGGTATGTAGAGGGTCATTTTCATCTGGCAGGAAATTGAACAAAAACTCAGAACTTATCTTCTTACTAATAAATATCTGGTAAATATTCTTATATGAATATATACTATACATGAGCCTATGAAAATAACATATTTCTTTATGTCCACATATTGTAGGTTTAGAAATAAATATAAACTTCAGGAAAACTCAATAGGTGATAATTATTAGAGAATACAAACAACATAATTACCAGAAAGACAAGCCTGGTATCAGAGTTACCAGGTGACCAATCCCAGGGGAAAGTAACATGAAAGTGAATTGGAATATAGAGTCTTCCAATTAGCCAAATACCTGGGCAGCGAGGTGTCTGAGAAGAAGTGGAATTGAACATGTTATTTTATGGTGGCTTAAGAAAATTTCCTAACAAGTCAGTAGAGAGATGATGAAGAGAAGGCAACTATTTGCTGACATGTTACTTCCTGTTTCCTGCCTTCTCCCTACCCACCTGTTTGTCTCCAACTAAAATTTTGTTAATCATCAAGTGTCAGCATCTGCAGAATAATAAACCTTTTTTCAAGTTTTTTTTTTTTTTTTACATATTCTAACCTTGCTTGCACATGAGTAGAATTTTCCAGATAAATGTATGTTTGTGTGTATGCATGTGTGCATACACATTTGCTCTCCTGTGTACTGGGTTAAGGGTGTAAGTGAGGATAGAGAGACAATAGCATTCCAAGTTTCCAGGTAGAACCATGTCCAAAGACCCAGAGACATAAACATCTCCTACAGTCCGGGGATCTGTGAGGAGCTCATGTGGCAGGGGTTCAGTGTGTGCAGTGGTGATTTGGGGTTGAGAGATAATGCTGAAAAGTAGGTTGGGGCCCACTTACATTTCATGCTGTGGGCTGAAAATAGAGTCGGTAAAGCTTTTAGAGCAAGAAAACACTATTTATAGAAAAATTACCCTGGCAACAATGTTCAGGCAAGACGGAATGTGTATTGGGATGAAAAGAATAGCAGTGGAGATGCAGAGGAGAAGCCCGATTCAAGAGAGGTGCCTGAGAAGAATGGACAAGACTTGGCACTAGATTAGTGTGGAAGGTACGGAAGAGGGAGTGGCAAGGTTTCTAAGCTAAGATCAAGGATACAGGTAAGAGTGAATCTCTTGAACTTTGAAACAGAACAGCAAGTTGGAGCTATCCAGTATGCAGCTACAAATATGTTCCTGGGGCTCAGGAGAGAGTTCTAGATTAGGCTGCTTTGTGAGTCATGATAACATAGATGAAAACTGCAGCCACAGTGTGAATTAAATTATCCATAGAGGAGGGTGAAAAGCAGGAAGACAGGAAAGATAGGAAGATCTGAAGATTAGAGGTCTTATAGGTAAAACAAAGGAAGAGAAGCCAGTGCAAGGAATAGAAATAGTCTGAGAGGTGGCAAAAATACTAGTGGAGGGTAGTACTGTGGAGACTGAGAAAAGACAGTATTGAGAAGCTGGAGTATCTAACACTGCCAGATTCTGTACCCAGCACTTAAAGTATGCATTGCCTTCTTAAGCACATATGATCATATAAGGCATCAAGCAAATCTAAACCAAATTTAAAGAATAGGTATTATGTAGAACACGTTCCTTGAGAACAATGCAACTGAGTTACAAGTTAACAGGCTGGGCGGGGGTGAGTGGATCACCTGAGGCCAGGAGTTTGAGACCAGCCTGGCCAATATGGTAAATCCCATCTCTACTAAAAATACAAAAATTAGCCAAGTATGGTGGCATGCACCTGTAATCCTAGCTACTGGGGAGGCTGAGGCAGGAGAATCACAATGGAGTGAGACTCTGTCTCAAAAAAAAAAAATTAATAACAAAAAGATAAATTTTAAAATTCCATATACCTGAGAATTTAAACAAAACTCATAAATCAAAGAAAAAATCAAATCAAAACTTAAACACTTAGAACTTAATGATAATGAAAATAGTTTACATCAAAAATTAAGGTATGCAATTAAAGTGTTTCTTTGGGGGAAAGTTTGTAGCCTTACATGCTTACTTAAGAAATGAATAGAAGGCCCAGCACACTGGCTCAGGCCTATAATCCTAGCACTTTGGGAGGCTGAGGGGGGCGGATCACTTGAGGTTGGGAGTTAGAAACCAGCCTGGCCAACATGGTGAAACCCTGTCTTTACTAAAAATACAAAAAAATTGACTGGGCGTGGTGGTGGGCGCCTGTAATCCCAGAAGCTGAGGCAGGAGAATTGCTTGAACCCCGGAGGCAGAGGTTGCAGTGAGCCAATATTGCATCTCTGGGCAACAGAGGGAGATTTTGTCTCAAAAAAAAAAAAAA